CACAGGAATGAGTCTTCCGAACTGAGTTACCCTGACTGTTTTATCTCATTTGGGTCGATGCTGCTTCATTTGGGGCGGGAGCGAACTTTTGACCCTGACTGTACATTGGAGTGTACGATCTGTCTACACTGCTCCTGTTCTAATCAATTCAACACGGCGTTTTTCTCAGTCACCTTGTCGAGCAACGCCCAGACTCAGGGGTTCGCGTGTTAAACTTCTTCCCCCAAGGAAACAAATAAAATAATACCCGATATGAAAATGGAGTAAAAATTGCACTGGGACTCCAAACGTAATTAAACACCACCATCCCGTACCTAATTAAGGAAAAAACTGTAAACAATCTGGTTTCCAGGTGTTGTCTCAAGTAATTATGTGTACAGGTACGTCCATAGAAACAGAGAGTCATTTTGTAATAAGAGCACTAACAATTGCCATCTGATTCCATAATAAAAACCGTAATTCGGAATTCAATAAAATTCCTGTCGTGTTTAATATTACAACACGACGATTATGAAGAAAAGTCAAAAGTCCTGGTTTTCTTGGGAAATTTTTGTCGAAATGGTGAAGGTAAGGCGAGGTGTCCACTACGTCTCGCACCTTGAAAATGTTTCAAATCCACGTTATATTTACCTTTTAAACTCCGCCCCTTAAATGTCAGCTGTTTGTCTGGAGCGCCACCACCTAGGAGAAAATGAAGGGGCAATTTTGTCTTCTCTCAGCGGGACGGAACACATCGAACACATAAACGACTGTCTCTGAAGATTAAAAGTACAGTATATATATATATATATATATATATATATATATATATATATATATATATATATATATATATATATATATATATATATATATATATATATATATATATATATTAATATTAATACCACACACCCTTGCCTCCTTGATAGTAACTATTAGGAAAAGAACACAATTCCTTCATCTCTCACCCCCATCCCCAACTTCCCCTCCCTTCCCTCCCCTACCTTTCCACCCCGCCCTATATAGATTGGACAGACGGATGTACAAACTCACTGGAGCAGAAGTATCTTGACACAGGCACTTCACCCATCCACATACACCATTTGTACCTGGTGGTGTGAAATTCCGGTGAAAACTAGCGGACGGGTTGATTCCACAAACCTTGCGGTGGACGAACCCACTGGAGTGGAACCATCATCGGTCTTGAACAGAACCCAGGACAAGTTATTTTCACAAGACGGACATGTGTTTACACACACACACATACACACACACACACACACATACACACACACACACACACACACTTTAATGGTTGCACTCAGGCCACTTAGTGTTAATTTGTTTACGTTGTATGAACTGTCGCCAACACCTCAAGCACACCTTAAGTTGTATGACCCTCTGTTAAGAAATAATCCAAGAAGACCGGATAACTCGCCAACTGCACTGGCTAACCACTACCCCGGAACAGTCCACAAATCGATTAACATCCAGGTTCCCAGAGGCGGATGACAAAGAAACTTGCCCGGGAGGAGATCATGATGACCATTACACCCCAGGTGTGTGTGTCTCGTTTTTATATTTTGAAAGAGAGAGGCATGTTTTTACACACAAGCTCAGTGATCGCTACACACCCCGGCCACAGGTCCAGGGAGGGAGGGAGGGGGGGGGAGTGGAATAACTATAACAATGGTAACGTAGCTGTGTCCTCAGACTACTTGATCATGTGAGCGGTAAATGGTTTTCATGACCGTGGTAATAAATACAATGACCAGGTTATATGAGAACAGATCTCATGACTGGTGATGGATTATATCAATACACCACCGGGATTATATCAATTCTCATGACTGGTAATAGATTATATCAACATACAACTCCTGACTGTACTGTACTGTATACAACAACCTCCTCCACTGGTGACAGATCGTCGCAGCGATAGACGTCTATTCTACTGTTTTTAGTCAAATTCGTCCCTAAAGGGGTGGACACCTCCCCCCTCCCCCCGGTAATAGATTCTGTGCCTGCAGTATTGGATTCTGTTGCTATGCATCCTGGCCGGTCGACATATTCCGGCCGGCCGGGTTGGTTGTGTGTGCCACGGCTGGCCGGGCGAGGTCAATGCGGCAACCTTTGCATTCGATCCAATTTGCTAAATTGTGTGTGGAGAGTTTCCAAGAGCTGGAGTCTGAAGAATGATCTCGTGCAGGACCCGGATTTAATCCCCAGTGACGTCACATGTAAACAGAACTTTGCATTATGGGATTGAATGTGGGGAGGAAACTGTGGGTGGGAGGAAACGGGTGGGGGGACGATTCTCCAAGTCTAGTGTCTTGTTTTGTTCTAAAATAGCTTAAGGCGTTTCTTTAATTCCATCAGTCACAATAGAGACTGATATTTGTTATGGGCGTTTCAAGACGATTTGTTCACGAATGAAAAAATCATTGATTGGGTAGATGACTAATCAAATGGGACATAATCCTTACAACTAAAGAGTAAGACCTAATCTAAATGATCCTCAGACCTCTTTGGTCAGGTTATATTCGGTCAAAGTATATTCGTTTAAGTCAAGATTGATGAGGGTTTGGTCAGGTTGGGTTAGGCTAGGTACGGGAAGGTAAGGTAAGGCAGCCAGATTTATGTGCGTGTACCCAGGTCGGTAATGTATAGCCTTAGAGTGGCGCGCAACCGGCTACAGTGTAGCCCCTACATTGACACACGGAGGTGTAAAAGTGGTGTTGGTGTTTCACAAGAAGCTTGCCCGCCCCACCTCTTCTCGGTGCAGCAAAGATCGACAGATGTGCGTGTACCCTGGGTTGGTACTGGTGGGTGGCCAGCTCACTATACACCTCCGTTTGTTAGTGCAGGCGGTTGCGTGCCCTACTTGGGCTACATTACCGACCCTGGGTACACGCACATTTGTCGGTCTTTGGATCTAAGCCAGATTAGATAAATAAGATCAGATCATGTCAGTTCAGGTTGGTGTCTTTTGAGACTCCTGCCCTTTGACTCAGGACGTCCTTGACTCAGCTTGTGTTCCTCATTATCGCCAGACGTGATAAAATTTTACTACCGCCCGATAATGGTGTGTCTGCTGACGTACAATAGTAAATCGACCCACAAGATATATAAAACACTATATTTGTGACCTAACGACTACATATCCACTCGTCATAATAATGAAATATTCTTATATTGTTATTCAAGGTCAATTCCTGATATTTTATTACTAGAATTGCGAATTCGTAAAATATTCTGTAAATTGTATCTATACTCAGGCAAGACGGCTCATGCTATAAGCATTGCGGCAGAGGATAACGTTACGATAACAGAACATTAGCCACTTGCAGCTACAGATAAAAATATCTTTCTAGTTGGTGATATATCAACCTTATAGTCATGACGTCTCGACATCGTAACATAACCATAACGTATGGTAGAGAATAACGCCAAGATATCGCAGTATTAATGAGTTGAGGTTACTTAATTTACCGAAATCTTAATCAACGGGACGATAGCGTTCCTATATCGTAATGACAGTCACTTAGTATAATGTTAAGGTCATAGTCAGTGGAGCAACAATAACGGGATTGCTTACAGCTCTCGGTGGTGTCATGATTGCAGTGAGGTCCTTGCCTGGTGGCGTGACTGGGAAAAATATATTCATTAATTTTGTCTGCAAGCGACACAAGCCTCGGGGGACGAGTGGCTGGTGTCGCGCCATCCAACCCTTTGATTAATTAATGGAGCACTGCAGCGATTGTCTTTACGGAAGCCATTGTACAGTCGCGATCAAAAGTCCCTTTATACGCCTGAGACTCCAACCGTTGTGAACGAGTCCCCGAGCTGCTTGTGTACTGTACTCATAATTAGCGGCTTAGTGCCTCGGTTATGTTTGATACAGTTTCGAGCAGGATTGTAAAGGGAGTTTTGTTCGTCACTGGACCCCGACCTAACCATAATGATAGATGACGGAAATGATAAACCAACATTGGGTGATGGCTGGGGAGGTGTTCGGTATATGACTTTATGACCCTCTTGAATACGATGATTCCTTATTCTATCCTACTCAAAGGTGTTGTTAGCATTATACTTCAGGGGTTATGTCATACTCGAGAGGTTAAATCACTTTATTCATCTTAATCTGTGGTTTAATCTCTTGTACTCAAGGATAGACAGTAAGACTTTTATGACCACTTCGCATGTTGGACGCCCCTTAAACTCACCTGTCAAAGCCGTCTTGCCCAACACCCGCGGCTGGTTAACGTTGCTGTACAGTATGACATTAGACGAAGCATTACACGCCACTCACCAGGATCCTTATTCATCTCTGCCTGATCCTGAGTAAGACCTTGATCTTTGACTCGAAAAATTGGCGTGACTAACTTAATCGAGGACGACCGTGTACCAAGTCCTCCCCCATCTCCAACGTCGCTTTAGAATCGTATTCAAGACTTTAAAAAAAATTGGTTTGGCAAAACTGTTTAACCCTTTAGGAAGCAGAGGAAAGAAAAAAAAATTAGTTTTGTCAAGGAAGAAAAGTCACCCACCAAGGCGTAACAAATTTTCAAGATAAAATAAAAAAAAGATACAAACATTTACATAAGTGAATTGTATACTTGAAATGCAGGATGTAATGTGCTGTAAACGTCGTTCCTCCCGAGTCTCTCCCCCACGTGCCTCACCACACTCTCAGGGCGACCTGGTGCTGTGGGTCAGGGGCTCCTCAACTGTAACGGGAGTGCGTGGGTTCGTCTCTATGGGGGTGTTACTGGGCTTTCTGTGGAGGAGTTTACAAGGATTCTATAGGGGTGTTACGGAACATTGCGAACCACTTTGTCAAATCCTAACATGTATTGTCTTCTTCACTTACCAACACCACTACCACTCATCCCCCTCAATCTCCTCCACCACTCACAAGCATCTCCACCATTCATAAACATCCCCTGAACCTCCACCCACTCACAATCACCTCCTCCACCACACACTAACGTTTCCACCTCTCCCGCCTCTGCCAGCCTGGAGTGTGGACGTACCGTGTTGAGAACCGCGCCGACAGTCACCAGAGCCTCTATGTGCGGGTGTTGGCCACTCCCAGGGCTGCCAACATCTCTTCTATCACCAACGCAGATGCCATCACCCTCAACGCCTGGACCTCCAACACCGCCTCCCCCATCAACGTCTCCGACACGGAAAACCCAGTAGTGGTGTACGCACAGGTAAGTGTGTGTGTCTGTAATAATAATAATAATAATAATAATAATAATAATAATAATAATAATAATAATAATAATAATAATAATAATAACAATAACAACAATTAACGGTTTATTTAAAAAGTTCTGCAGCCTGAGGGCTGAAAATATACATTAGGCAAATATGACTTATTACATACAAAGACATGTGGTAGGTGGGTCGTATAACAAAAGCTTTCATTACTAAAAGGAGAAGGAACAATGATTGAACATACAAATTATTATAGTTTGCAGTTGATGGCCCGGGCTGGTCTCTTGCCATGTTGTGTGAGGTCACGTAGGCCACGTGGTGCAGTAACTCGTCCGTAGGTGTTGACATGAAGGACCTCACGTGGTCATGGAGACACCGGGTGGTGTGGGGTGGTGTCACAGTACCTCACTCTCTGCTAGGTGGTGTTGTGTTATCTCGTAGTCAGGTGTAATGCCGGCCCACTGTTGTTCCCAGGGTGGAGTATTTAACACGGCCTGGTCAGAAGATAGTGGTTGGATCCCAGGGGTGCTTATCTCACTGGTGGGTTGTGGCTCTTGCTGGTACTGTCGATAAGTGACCATGTACTCGTGTTATAGTGACCATGTGGTAGTGTTTTAGTGAAAGTGTAGTAGTGTTATAGTAAACCTGTAGTACTGTTTTTGTCAAAGTGTAGTGGTGTTATAGTGAACTTGTACTGTTATAGTGAACATGTGGTAGTGTACACACAAGATGGTGTAATGCGTCTAGTGTGGCAGCATTATGTTAGTGTTAAGGTGCAAGCACTGCTTGCTCCCTCTCGCTTTCAGCTACCGCCACTGGCTTGCCCTCATGGTGAACAGGGAAGCAACTTGCACAAGTCCTCGCTTGACAGTAAACAGCTTCATCACCATTAAGATTCCTGTTGTCACTCCTCATGGCAACACATGGTAACTGGGTGCCTTGTGGGCCCAAGCTAGACCAGCAGGGGATCTCGGAGCAGCAGTGGGCCCCAAAGGGACGGTGCATAGGCTCACTGGCATGTGGATACGTCCTGATACCTACCAACCACCGCCCCGCTGCCTTGCAGATTAACCTTGGCAGGTATAAGGCTACTGGAGTAAACCCCAAACGAAAAATTTTTAGTGGAGCCCCACATCAGATAGACTTGCTTACAGAGCTCCAACAAGACCCCAACGGCGGTATAGGGGGAAGAGGTGACCAACATGGGAAACCAAAAAACTACACCGATGGATGAAGGCAATGCATGATGGACAGGATACAAAAGCGAAACCCAACAAACTGGGCTAACGGCAGTCCATTGCATCTCTCCCTCTCCCCAGTCGTTGCAACACTTGCACAACTGGATCAGGAAAAGGGAGAGCCAAGATGTGTCGTTGTAGCCTGCGCTCCTGCCTCACCACATAAATCAACTCACGTACAGCCATCACCCAGCTCCTCATACTTTTTATCATCATCAAAACCCCTATACCCCCAAAGGCGGATGGGGATGGACAAGTGACGACGGGGATAGGCAGTGATGACTGCCGGGAGTCTCTAGTCACAACTTTGCACCTGGGCAGCATAGATAAGATGGTCGTTTATGCACTGGGATCAAGGCAGCAGTACAATCCGGTCCTGTCTATCCGACTAAGCAGCCCTCTTGAGGACCCGACTCTGATCACCCCTCATGGGGAGGAGGCTAGAAAAGGTGCCCAAAACATAGCCTGCCTAAAGAACCAACCTGACTGCGCAACCGCACCCAGTAAATGTCATCCTTATGCAGTCGAAAACAGAATCACAATCACAGATCAAATAAAAAACAAACCATACAACCTCTTATGGTATCTGCTTTGAATGTCAGGACCATTTCGGATATTGGCACAAAAGAGCGTCCTGAAAAAAAGAACTGCCCTTGTGGCAAAAGAGCTGCCTAGGTATAACATCAACATTCCAGCCATTAGTAAGTCCCGGCTCCCAGAGAGAGTTGACTCACAGAACGGGGGTCTGGCTATACCTTCTTTTGGAAGGGTAAGCCTGCTGTGGAGAGAAACAGCAGTTATGGAATTGGCTTTGCTATCCGGCAATGCATCCTACATAGGCTAACTGAAATACCTGTTGGGATCAACGAACGCCTTCTGACGCTGTGAGTCCCACTGAATCACTCACGTCATTCCTTTTGCATCAGTGCATACACCACAACACTAGGTGCAGAGGATGACATCAAGAAGGCCTTTCACGCCAACCTTGACAGAGTACTAACCTCTATCCCCAGAGAAGATAAGGTTGTACTCCTAGGTGACTTCAATGCCAGAGTTGGCAGAAATGCTGACATTTGGCAAGGAATCATAGGGAGAAATGAATAAGGAAAGTGTAACGCCAACAGCCTACTCCTACTCAGCAAGTGTACTGCACACAACGTCACTATCACCAATACCTCGGCTAGGCAAGAAGAAAGTGGCGGCCCAGCGCGAACTTCGCAATCTAAAGAACAACTGGTTTAAAAATTAATCAAGTGAAATGCAAAAAACTTGCGAATCAACACAAGATGCACCAATTTTTCAATTCCACTAAAACATTTTATGGGCAAATCACTCATGGCACAGCCCCCTCCACTCATCCGTTGGTAACTCCCTAACTAAAGACGAAAACGGCATCCATCAGCACTGGAAAGCGCACTGCCATTCGCTGCTCAATTGAAACACTGATGTGGATGTCCTGACTACCCAGCAGGTCCCTCAGCATCCAGAGCTGACCCACATCAGCTATCCTCCATCCCTGGATGAGGTAGCTACTACCATCAAATGGATGAAAAATAACAGCCTGAGGGCCTCTTGTAGTCCCAGCCGAGGTGTATAAAGTAGGAGGACCTCTGCTCACCAGCTGTCTCCACTCACTCTTGGAGAATATATGGGAAAACGAGGAATTCCGCAAGCTCTTAAAGACGCCTTCATCGTCAATATTTATAAGAGCAAGGGAGACCGGTCAGACTGTGGCAACTACCACGGGATATCGCTGCTGTCCATAGTGTCTTTTGACCATCACGTGGCACCACTGATATGATATTTGTTGCCTGCCAGATACAGGAAAAATGCAGAGAACAGCGTCATGACCTGCACATTGCCTTCATCGACCTTACCAAGGCCTTCGACTCGGTCAACAAGGAAGCCCTTTGGCAGACACTCAGCCGTTTTGGCTGCCCACCAAAATTCACCTCCATTGTGAGGCAGCTCTACGATAACATGAACGGCAGTGTTTTTCACAATGGCACCCAGTCTGAGTTCTTCCCTATTCAAACGGGGTAAAACAAGGATGTGTACTGATACTAACTCTTTTTCATTCTGGCTGCCTTCCTTATTCGTGCCAGTGCCAATTTAGCCGGTGGAGTGGACATCCAGTACCTTATGAAGAGTCTTTTCAACATAAGACGACTCCAGGCAGGAACAAAGGTGTCTGCAGTTTCCATTACTGAACTTCAGTATGCAGACGACCTCACCCTTGTCGCTCACACTGTATGCGACCTACAGGAGATCCTGAACACCTACACAGATGCTTATGCACACTTCGGCCATGAGGTGAATGTAAATAAGACTCAGATTATGATTTAAGCCTGCCCCTGGTACAGTCATACCTCCACCACCCATCCATCCATCCAGCTTAATGGTACTACCCTCTCTAATGTTACCCACATTCAGTATCTCAGCTCCCGCCTACCCACCACCTCGGACATCGATGAAGAGATTCAACTTTCGAGCCTTTGGCAGAATCCGTACCCGTGTCTTCGGCTATAGGGAGCTGAAATTATCTTCAAAGTTGCACGTATATCGAGCAGTGGTCCTCCCCGCCCTGCTGTATGGCAGCGAAAGATGGGTCACATACAGGAGGCACCACAAGGCACATGGAAACTTTCACCAACGTAGTCTACGTTCCATCCTCCGTGTTCGCTGGGAAGACAAGAGAACAAATGCCAGTATTCTTGCTGACACCAACTGTAGGAGCATTGAACCTACCATTATCCATGAACATCTGCGTTGGACTGGCCATGTTACCCGCATGGACGACAGTAGACTGCCAAAGCAGCTATTTTACAGTCACCTGACGAATAGTAAACGTAACGCCGGCGGGCAACTGAAAAGGTAATAAGGCTTGTCTTAAGACAAACCTGAAAAAGTGCCAAATGAACCCCCTCACCTGGGAGACGATTACTCCACACCGTAACGCTTGGAGGAGCACCACCACACGGGAAGGTGTCAATACTTTTTCTAGCTAGCCCGACTACAAACCGAGAGGCAGACAAGCGCCAACGCCGGAAAGACGCTGCCGCCGCCCCTCCACATGTGTAACATGTGTGAACGACTCTGCCGGTCCCATATCGGCCTCTTTAGTCACCTCAGAACTCACCAACGAAGGTGACACCCTTAATAATTCTTATAATTTTATTGTAGCTGGATGACTGTCGTACTCGATTCAAAGATACAGCAAAGTAGTAGTAGTAGTATTAGCTGTGTGTTTGTGTGTGGTATACGCTCGCTTATGTATGTGTGTTTTGAGTATGCTTGGATAAATGTGTGTTAGTTTTACTGTTCGCGTGTGTATGTTTGTCAACACTATTATATTTGCTGTGAATGATATCAAGGCAAGATAAGGTTTTACCCTTAATATTTACGCTGTCATAAACAACCAACCTCAACAACTTTACTTCAGTATCAGGTATTTATTAATAACTACTCTCTTACAGTATTTTACACGCGGCCAACGACGCAACACAGTCAGTAACTAACAGTCTTCAATATGAAGTAAAACAAACACTTGGTTTTATTGTGTACATTATTCAAGATGACAACAAGTGTAGTGCCACCCATACCACCAACTTGTTTACCTTCCAAACTATTAAGTGTTTTCTTTTCTTTTTTTCAAAGTAAATAAATAATATTAATATTGTAGAAATTTTTTCTTTACTAATGAACAACTACGCCATGACCATTTGCACCAGATGACACAGGTAATAAGCTACGAG